TCATAGCACAGCACAGCACAACACAGCACAGCACAACACAGCACAGCACAACACAGCACAGCACAGCACATCATAGCACAGCACAGCACAGCACAACACAGCACAGCACAACACAGCACAGCACAACACAGCACAGCACAGCACAGCACAGCACAACACAGCACAACACAGCACAGCACAGCACAGCACAGCACAGCACAGCACAGCACAGCACAGCACAACACAGCACAGCACAACACAGCACAGCACAACACAGCACAGCACAGCACAACACAGCACAGCACAGCACAGCACAGCACAGCACAACACAGCACAGCACAGCACAGCACAGCACAACACAGCACAGCACAGCACATCATAGCACAGCACAGCACATCATAGCACAGCACAGCACAGCACATCATAGCACAGCACAGCACAGCACAACACAGCACAGCACAACACAGCACAGCACAACACAGCACAGCACAGCACAGCACAGCACAGCACAACACAGCACAGCACAGCACATCATAGCACAGCACAGCACAGCACAACACAGCTCAGCACAGCACAGCACAGCACAGCACAACACAGCACAGCACAGCACAGCACAACACAGCACAGCACAGCACAGCACAACACAGCACAGCACAGCACAGCACAACACAGCACAGCACAGCACAGCACAACACAGCACAGCACAGCACAGCACAACACAGCACAGCACAGCACAGCACAGCACAACACAGCACAGCACAGCACAGCACAGCACAGCACAACACAACACTGGAATTCCTACAGCACAAAGGAATTAGTGATGCACAATCGCGTCACATATGTAGGAAAAGTCCACAATTTCAGGTGGGCTGCGGTTAGTTGCTTCTGGACTCTTTCCTTGTTAAGGCTGTTCATAGCATGGTGGATAGAGCTCTGTCTCTCACTTGTAGGGTCGGGGGTTCGAGTCCCCCTACTGCCCAGGTAAATGAAATGTTTATATCCACGGTTCAGTGGTAGGGAATTTACTCTATCAAGTCTACAATCAAGTCTACTCTGATAAGCTCATTCACCTGTCCAATGTTTATTAATTCTTTCCTCACCTCACACTAATGAAGGTTGAGTTACTACTTGACTCCAAGACACTTGTAACAATGAGGCAATTACTCTTGATGAGTAGTTAATGTCCAGTTTCATGTGTCTGTCTTCTGTCAAGATCAATGTTGGACTCCAATCTCCAACACAAATGTTGATTAGCACAAACGGTACTGTTTGAGACTGTTGACCAGACCACACACTAGAAGGTGAAGGGACGACGACGTTTCGGTCCGTCCTGGACCATTCTCAAGTCGATTGTGACAATCAACTTGAGAATGGTCCAGGACGGACCGAAACATCGTCGTCCCTTCACCTTCTAGTGTGTGGTCTGGTCAACATACTTTAGCCACGTTATTGTGACTCATCGCCTGCGATAGTGTTTGAGTCTTGGCGTGAGTCTTGGCGTGAGTCTTGGCGTGAGTCTTGATGTGAGTCTTGATGTGAGTCTTGGTGTGAGTCTTGACATGAGTCTTGGCGTGAGTCTTGGCGTGAGTCTTGGCACTACACTGTTAATAGTTGATGTTGAGTCCTCACGCTCAACCTGACTCGCTGTTAACAGAGGACCACAACAGCCCCCAACGATAATGTCTCTCAACTCTCAAGAGGATTCACCAAGCTGTTGCAAGGTTCTCCTCCTGCAACTCGCATCAAAATCTTCTCCCTGTCGACGCCGTCATCTTAGAAGTGGGTCGGTCTTGCATACAAAGCTTCAGATAGTCGAAGGTTCAAAATTGGCCGAGCAACGCGGTCAAACTCCCTGAGACCGTGATGGCAACAGGCAAGAGACTTGCCTTGGACCAATCACAGGCAGCCTCGATGACGCATACCATCTTGGAACTCCTCCCATTGGTCACACAATGTCACGTGATCAACAGAAGGGCTGCACCAGATGCAGCCTTCCTTGACGAAAATAAAGACATATGACTCTAGTTGCATCTTGACATGAACCAAATTACACACCTGTAAACTTGAGAACATATATACTTTCCAGGGAATCATTCATAGTGGTTGTGCGTGAGTATACTCACAGGAGGCTGAGTATAACTGAGATATAACAGTATATAAGTATATCATATCTCTATGTAGTGGTTCATGCGTGGGGATCTTGAGGTTATCTTGAGAGATGATTACGGGGCTTTAGTGTCCCCGCGGCCCGGTCCTCGACCAGGCCTCCACCCCCAGGAAGCAAGCAGCCCGTGACAGCTGACTAACACCCAGGTACCTATTTTACTGCTAGGTAACAGGGGCATCAGCATGGAAGAAACATTTTGCCTATTTGTTTCTGCCTCCACCGGGGATCGAACCCGGAACCTCAGGACTACGAATCCGAAGCGCTGTCCACTCAGTTGTCAGGTATGCTGTAGTTTTAATAGATCTGACTGTGTGTATGCTCCTAGGGATTAATTCATCAAACTTGACTGATTATAAGATATGACTTTCAAATCAAATTGGGACAATAACTCTATATTGTGTTTGTTGTAGTAACTTGTCCAGGGACCGTCGCTTCTCTGTACACACCTGGTTGTACTGATGGGGGTTGAGCTCTGGCTCTTTGGTCCCGCCTCTCAACTGTCAAACAACTGGTGTACAGGTTCCTGAGCCTACTGGGCTGTGTGTGTGTGTGTCTGTGTGTCTGTGTCTGTGTGCGTGTCTGTGTCTCCATGTGTGTGTGTCTGTGTGCGTGTCTGTGTCTCCATGTGTGTGTGTCTGTGTGCGTGTCAGTACACGTCAGTATACACACACACACGTCTGGAGGAGTGGGTCAAGACATACACACACACCTGCAGGAGTGAGTCAAGACATACACACACCTGCAGGAGTGGGTCAAGACATACACACACACACCTGCAGGAGTGGGTCAAGACATACACACACCTGCAGGAGTGGGTCAAGACATACACACACACACCTGCAGGAGTGGGTCAAGACATACACACACCTGCAGGAGTGGGTCAAGACATACACACACACACCTGCAGGAGTGGGTCAAGACATACACACACCTGCAGGAGTGGGTCAAGACATACACACACACCTGCAGGAGTGGGTCAAGACATACACACACACACCTGCAGGAGTGGGTCAAGACATACACACACCTGCAGGAGTGGGTCAAGACATACACACACCTGCAGGAGTGGGTCAAGACATACACACACACCTGCAGGAGTGGGTCAAGACTTACACACACACCTGCAGGAGTGGGTCAAGACATACACACCTGCAGGAGTGGATCAAGACATACACACACACCTGCAGGAGTGGGTCAAGACACACACACACCAGCAGGAGTGGGTCAAGACATACACACACACCTGCAGGAGTGGGTCAAGACATACACACACACGTCAAGGCTCTGAGAGGCTGGCCAACTCCCCCCCCCCCCACCCCGTCAAAGACCATTATCTCTCTTCCTGGTAAACAGGTCTCTGTCTCAGCCTCAACCGTTGCAATAATATTTAGTCTCCCGTTTGCATCATGAATTAATTAATGTATAAATTTATTTTTTGTAATTCATCAAAAAATAAAGTGTTTTTAGTTGAATAAAATGTAATTAAAAACCTACTTATTTAAATCAACTAAAAATGTAAATATAAAGTCAGAATATATATTTTAATATATATAATATTGCCCCGAGAGACGTAATGTCTATGTCGTTTCATAAGTTAGAATTAGTTTGGTAAAAATATATAATTACACTGAGTAGATAGATTTTTTATCATTTCTAATTTGTCAAATAAATGAGTTTAGTTACCTTGTGCTATCTTATCTTGAGGTTATCTTGAGATGATTTCGGGGCTTTTTTTTTTTTAGTGTCCCCGCGGCCCGGTCCTCGACCAGGCCTCCACCCCCAGGAAGCAGCCCGTGACAGCTGACTAACACCCAGGTACCTATTTTACTGCTAGGTAACAGGGGCATAGGGTGAAAGAAACTCTGCCCAATGTTTCTCGCCGGCGCCTGGGATCGAACCCAGGACCACAGGATCACAAGTCCAGCGTGCTGTCCGCTCGGCCGACCGGCTACCGCGTTTATTAGCTTGTGTTGCGTGGAATAACTTGATGAAGGTGTAGATACAACACAAAAAACACAAAGGGAAAGATGATACAGTACTGAATACAGGCGAGAGAGTATCACACTGTAATCGGTTTTTATTTGTTATTTCAAGTAAGAGACGTTCACTGGAGGCGTGGACCGGGAGCTGGAGCTCCATAGACCTCTTCCTATCCTTCCTGAGTGTTGATGTGATAGAACACAGTCAGTGATAGAATTCCAGATCAGAAAGGTAAGGATGAACCCAACTGTTAAATTGGTGTATCCCTGGGCCCAATATACGCCAGGATATAGGATATATATACTCCAGGATTTATATACTCATCAGCTTCACATCTTAAGGCAAAGTATATATCTGATTTACATACAAATGAACTTAGCCACTCAAGTGTTGGTGATCTGATAGACATAGATAAAAGCAACTTTCCTTCTTATTTTCCGAGTCGTGGATGATTGTATTTTAATACATCGTTACTAGGCAAAGTTGCGAAGCAAAAATACAATTTTATACACCTGTATGGACTATTCACACATACACATACAGCAGGTAGTGTATGAGTACAATGAGCCTACGGTGCAAATAACCAGGCCTACACCCCCAGGAAGCAGCCCGTGACAGCTGACTAACACCCAGGTACCTATTTTACTGCTAGGTAACAAGGGCATAGGGTGAAAGAAACTCTGCCCATTGTTTCTCGCCGGCGCCTGGGATCGAACCCCAGGACCACAGGATCACAAGTCCAGCGTGCTGTCCGCTCGGCCGACCGGCTCCCCGACACACATGCAGCGTATAAATGTATTAAGCTAGGTCAGGTTACGCTAGGTATTGGGTCATTGTTCAACAAGGATCAAGGAGACTGTTGTGGGTGACTCACAGTAGACGACGAGGGCCAGGGACTGCTCCAGCACGGCGTCCGTCGCCGGATTCTCCGCCCGACACGTCACCGTCGTCCCGTCGTCTGGAGGCGTCGGCGTCAGCTCCAACGTCGACGTCGTTACGTTCCCGTCACTCGTCGTCTGAGAGCAGTAAGGAGACACGTTTAGTTTAACATGACGTTCATCTGACGTTCATCTCACGTTCACCTGACGTTCATCTCACGTTCACCTGACGTTAATTAAGATGACGTGTATGCATACATACTACAATACAATGTTGTATGAGTGTATACACACTACAATACAAGGTTATATGAGTGTATACACACTACAATACAAGGTTGTATGAGTGTATACACACTACAATACAAGGTTGTATGAGTGTATACACACTACAATACAAGGTTGTATGAGTGTATACACACTACAATACAAGGTTCTATGCGAGTATACACCCTACAATACAAGGTTGTATGCGAGTATACACCCTACAATACAAGGTTGTATGAGTGTATACACACTACAATACAAGGTTGTATGAGAATATACACACTATAATACAAAGTTGAATGAAAATATACACAATACAATATATGGCTGTATGGGTGTACACACACTACAATAGAGGATTGTATGATTGTATACACACTACAATACAATGTTGTATGAGAATATACACCCTACAATATATGGTTGTATGAATGTACAACCAACTACAGAACACTTGGTAAGACCTAATATACACAATGGCCGTATAGTCAAGTTGTTTGGCCCTATATATACACAACATCATTCAGTATAAGGTTGTATATCCCCCATATAAAACATCCTTCAGTATAAGATAGTATAGCCCTATACACAACCAACAGTATAGGGTTGTATGGGTATACACACGACACACAGAATATTTTTTTAATTATGAAATTACTTCTTAAACTAATTTAAAAATAATAAGAGAATAAAATTAATATAAAAATAATAAGAGAATTAATCTAATTTAAAATGTTACTAATTCAGTGGAACGGAAAAACTACACGAGTTTAGGTTCTTTAACCACAAAATACAGCCGCTGTATTATCTGTATGTTTGACGAACTAATACAACAATCTTATCTTTTGGTCATTGTTAGGAACGTGTGAGTCATAGACACATACGTGAAATAGTTAGTACGTACTTGCAATGGTTATTTGCGTACAGGGCATAGTTAACCACGTACAGGACATAGTTAACTACGTACAGGACATAGTTAACTACGTACAGGACATAGTTAACCACGTACAGGGCATAGTTAACTACGTACAGGGCATAGTTAACCATGTACAGGGCATAGTTAACTACGTACAGGGCATAGTTAACCATGTACAGGGCATAGTTAACCATGTACAGGGCATAGTTAACCATGTACAGGGCATAGTTAACTACGTACAGGGCATAGTTAACCATGTACAGGGCATAGTTAACCACATACAGGGCATAGTTAACTACGTACAGGGCATAGTTAACCACGTACAGGGCATAGTTAACCACGTACAGGTCATAGTTAACCACGTACAGGGCATAGTTAACCACGTACAGGTCATAGTTAACCACGTACAGGGCATAGTTAACCACGTACAGGGCATAGTTAACCACGTACAGGGCATAGTTAACCACGTACATGGCATAGTTAACCACGTACAGGGCATAGTTAATCACGTACAGGGCATAGTTAATCACGTACAGGGCATATATATGTAGAGCTATATATTTAAGCTAAGTCCTCAGTATAAGAAATATGTGATCTGTCCCGTTCTGGACAACAGAGCAGCTGTCAAGTACAGTAGACAGGAGCAGTCTGTCCAATGGGCTGCGTCCCTGTCTAATGCCAACAGTCACTCTGGCGACATTGTAAACATTACTTCCCACTCAGACAGTTAAAAAGAGGTACCTGATGTCCCAAATTGAGTGAATAATACAGTTAAATACCACAGTTAATCTGTCTATATCATTTTAGGCCCGTATTGTATTCCTAAATCTCTTCCAAAAATTTATAAGTAACATAAATATTTGATTAACCCCTGCACCGCGCATCTGTTTTTTTTTCAATAAATGGTCCCGTTGGTTAAGGTATTCACTTACCGTTTCTCTGGCGCCTTGGACGCGGGTGGTACCCTTCCACCAGGTGATTGTGGGAGGGGGCCGCGACCCCTTCACCTCACATACCAGTTCATATCCCCTTCCGTAGCTCAGTGGGTCCTCCGGCGCCTGCAGGGTCACGCTCAAGGGCTCCACTGAGGAAGACAGACACAGGTGGATAACTTAAGTTGTGGTGGTTGGCACACTGTGTATGTAACCTGTGGCTTCAGTGTAGTGTGGGGGCTGGGTAGTGAGGATACTGTCATCCCCTGTGGCCTCAGTGTAGTGTGGGGGCTGGGTAGTTGTGGTACTGTCACCCTTGTGGCCTCAGTGTAGTGTGGGGGGCTGGGTAGTGGTGATACTGTCACCCCTGTGGCCTCAGTGTAGTGTGTGGGGGGCTGGGTAGTGGGGATACTGTCACCCCTGTGGCCTCAGTGTAGTGTGGGGGGCTGGGTAGTGGTGATACTGTCACCCCTGTGGCCTCAGTGTAGTGTGTGGGGCTTGGTAGTGGGGATACTGCCATCCCCTGTGGCCTCAGTGTAGTGTGTGGAGGGCTGGGTAGTGGTGATACTGTCATCCCCTGTGGCCTCAGTGTAGTGTGGGGGGCTGGGTAGTGGTGATACTGTCATCCCCTGTGGCCTCAGTGTAGTGTGGGTGGCTGGGTAGTGGGGATACTGTCATCCACTGTGGCCTCAGTGTAGTGTGGGGGGCAGGGTAGTGGTGATACTGTCACCCCTGTGGCCTCAGTGTAGTGTGAGGGGCTGGGTAGTGGTGATACTGTCACCCCTGTGGCCTCAGTGTAGTGTGTGGGGGGCTGGGTAGTGGTGATACTGTCATCCCTATGGCTTCAGTGTAGTGTGTGGGGCTGGGTAGTGGTGATACTGTCACCCCTGAGGCTTCAGTGTGGTGTAGGGTGGCTGGGTAGTGGTGATACTGTCACCCCTGTGGCCTCAGTGTAGTGTGGGGGGCTGGGTAGTGGTGATACTGTCACCCCTGTGGCCTCAGTGTAGTGTAGGGGGGCTGGGTAGTGGTGATACTGTCACCCCTGTGGCCTCAGTGTAGTGTAGGGTGGCTGGGTAGTGGTGATACTGTCACCCCTGTGGCCTCAGTGTAGTGTGGGGGGCTGGGTAGTGGTGATACTGTCACCCCTGTGGCCTCAGTGTAGTGTGGGGGGCTGGGTAGTGGTGATACTGTCACCCCTGTGGCCTCAGTGTAGTGTAGGGGGGCTGGGTAGTGGTGATATTGTCATCCCTATGGCTTCAGTGTAGTGTAGGGGCTGGGTAGTGGTGATACTGTCACCCCTGTGGCCTCAGTGTAGTGTGGGGGGCTGGGTAGTGGTGATGCTGTCATCCCTATGGCTTCAGTGTAGTGTGTGGGGCTGGGTAGTGGTGATACTGTCACCCCTGTGGCCTCAGTGTAGTGTGGGGGGCTGAGTAGTGGTGATACTGTCACCCCTGTGGCCTCAGTGTAGTGTGGGGGCTGGGTAGTGGTGATACTGTCATCCCTATGGCTTCAGTGTAGTGTGTGGGGCTGGGTAGTGGTGATACTGTCATCCCCATGGCTTCAGTGTAGTGTGTGGGGCTGGGTAGTGGTGATACTGTCATCCCTATGGCTTCAGTGTAGTGTGTGGGGCTGGGTAGTGGGGATACTGTCATCCCTATGGCTTCAGTGTAGTGTGTGGGGCTGGGTAGTGGGGATACTGTCATCCCTATGGCTTCAGTGTAGTGTGGGGGGCTGGGTAGTGGTGATACTCTCACCCCTGTGGCCTCAGTGTAGTGTGGGGGGCTGGGTAGTGGTGATACTGTCACCCCTGTGGCCTCAGTGTAGTGTGGGGGCTGGGTAGTGGTGATACTGTCACCCCTGTGGCCTCAGTGTAGTGTGGGGGGCTGGGTAGTGGTGATACTGTCACCCCTGTGGCCTCAGTGTAGTGTGGGTGGCTGGGTAGTGGTGATACTGTCACCCCTGTGGCCTCAGTGTAGTGTGGGTGGCTGGGTAGTGGTGATACTGTCACCCCTGTGGCCTCAGTGTAGTGTGGGGGGCTGGGTAGTGGGGATACTGTCACCCCTGTGGCCTCAGTGTAGTGTGGGGGGCTGGGTAGTGGTGGTACTGTCATCCCCTGTGGCTTCAGTGTAGTGTGGGGGCTGGGTAGTGGTGATACTGTCACCCCTGTGGCCTCAGTGTAGTGTGTGGGGGGCTGGGTAGTGGTGATACTGTCACCCCTGTGGCCTCAGTGTAGTGTGGGGGGCTGGGTAGTGGTGATACTGTCACCCCTGTGGCCTCAGTGTAGTGTGGGGGGCTGGGTAGTGGTGATACTGTCATCCCCTGTGGCCTCAGTGTAGTGTGGGGGGCTGGGTAGTGGTGATACTGTCACCCCCTGTGGCCTCAGTGTAGGGGGGGGGCTGGTAAGTAAGGTCATAAGTAACATAATGGAAAGACTTGTCTAGCATGGGGTTATTATGAGTATACTGTACAACATACAGTGTACATCATACACTGTACTCAAGTTAGTGTATTTACATATAGCATATTCAGGCATCACAACCAGAGAGAACAATCAAGAACATAAGATCAAAATATTCTTTTGTATTTCTATTTATATTCAAACAAACTTATTAATGTATTTGTCTAACCTACGCTTGAAACAATACACTGATCCCCCCAGTCAAACATATTACTTGGTAATTTGCTCTAAGAATTAACTAACGTATTTTCAAACCAGTATTCACCCAGGTCTTTTATCGCATTACACATTCAATTTATATATTTCCTGGTCTGTTTAGTGTTGATATATGTAAACATTTATTTATATACAATTTGCTATACTTTTTTCACCCTATTTGTGTACTTTGAAAACGTCACTTATTTCTTTTTGACTTCTTAGACAATATAAACTTTTTTAATCTCACTTAATAAGTTTCATAGTTCCTTGGGGTACATTGTTCCATTGAATGGTACATTGTTCCCTTGAAGGGTACACTGTTCCCAATAGACGTCTATAAATAGACTAACTTGCATATACTAAAATAGGCCTAATATTTCGTATGTTAGGCCTAGTGTTGCTTATTCATTTCAGCGCCAGGTAGGTTAGGTTAGGTTGGGTTAGGTTAGGTTAGGTTAGGTTAGGTTAGGTGAGGTTAGGTTAGGTTAGGTGAGGTTAGGTTAGGTTAGGTTAGGTTAGGTGAGGTTAGGTTAGGTTATGTTAGGTCTATTGTTAGGTTAGGTTAGGTTAGGTGAGGTTAGGTTAGGTTAGGTTAGGTTAGGTTAGGTTAGGTTAGGTTAGGTTAGGTCTATTGTTAGGTTAGGTGAGGTCTATTGTTAGGTTAGGTTAGGTTAAGTGAGGTTAGGTTAGGTTAGGTTAGGTTAGGTTAGGTCTATTGTTAGGTTAGGTTAGGTTAGGTGAGGTTAGGTTAGGTTAGGTTAGGTTAGGTTAGGTTAGGTTAGGTTAGGTGAGGTTAGGTTAGGTTAGGTTAGGTCTATTGTTAGGTTAGGTTAGGTTAGGTTAGGTTAGGTCTATGGTTTGCTTCTCTTAGTTTTGTCCCTGAGAAATCCATTAATACAAAAGCTGGTCCTGTATTTTTGTATGGATACAAGAGTCTGTATTATGAAGACTGTCTATAGTGACCATATCTCAGGTGGGAGAAGTCTTGACGGGAGAGTTAGAGGGAAAGATTTGAGGCTTCTTGTACTAAAATGTCAGAAATGTATCTTGTGAAAACATTAACCAGCATCTTCACCAAGTCTATATATATATATTGGTTTTTGTGTTTATCTAAGCTTGAAGGCTAGATTCTTAGGGCTAGTTTCTCCCAACTTTGCATGGTGACGATTGTAGGGTTGGTGACCAACATGGGTGGCACAGGCGTCATTCTATTCTGAATGTTCTCTTTAAAAAATAGTCGCCGCACATTCCCCTGTCTAATCAATGGTAGATGAATGGAAAGTTTTTATTATTTCTTTAATTTATACCACCGAATAATAGAGAATACATATTATATATATATATATATATATATATATATATATATATATATATATATATATATATATATATATATATATATATATATATATATATATATATATAATAACATTTTAGTGTCTAGCAGTTCAACAGGTCGACTCGGTCACTGCCGGATACCCCACGTAATCAATACTGTAAGAATGTATGTCTGTCTGTCCAGTGTAGGGGCCAGACGCCCGGTGCTAGTCTCGCAAATATTTGTAGAGTAATGATCCGGACTCACAGGCTGGTTGACGGGGTTGCTAGAACAGCCTGCCAAGGTCCCCTCCTCCCCTCCCAACACACACACATTTCACTGCCCGCCTACTAGACACCTTAATACTTCTCAAACACAATTTTAAACACATCTTTCCTATATTATTATAGGAAAAATGTGTTTAAAATTGTGATATATAATATACGCCATTATCGATTAATGTCTGGAAAAATTAGGAGAAATTTCCTTCTATCCATACTTTGTCCGTAGTGGCATAAACCAGACTACACTGCCACAGGCTGAAAGGGTTCTCAAGCCCAACCACTTACTCAAAGTTAATGGGGGTAACTACTCAGTTGTTAATATTGTACAGCGCTAAACTTCTTCCATCGGCAACCACCCACACTGCAATGGTAGAGATATATCTTTTTTTTATAAAGGTGAGAGAGAGATGGAGACAGAGATGAAGAGAGAAATGGAGAGAGATAAAGAGAGAGAGAGAGAGAGAGAGAGAGAGAGAGAGAGAGAGAGAGAGAGAGAGAGAGAGAGAGAGAGAGAGAGAGAGAGAGAGAGAGAGAGAGAGAGAGAGAGAGGAGAGATCGTCCCCGTGGCGCAGTGGTGAAACACTTGCCCAACACATTCAGCGTAGGATGACAAAGTTAATCCCACAAATTAGAAACTTGTCATATGAAGAAATATTAACAAAGCTTAAATTACATTCACTGGGAAGGCGAAGAGTTAGGGGTGACATGATAGAGGTTTACAAGTGGATGAATGGACATAACAAGAGGGAATATTAATAGGGTATTAAAAGTATCAACACAAGACAGAATACGAAACAATGGGTATAAATTGGATAAGTTTAGATTTATGAAGGACTTGGGTAAATACTGGTTCGGTAACAGGGTTGTTGATTTGTGGAGCCAATTGCCGCGTAA